CTTGCTTCCTCTGCAGCAGAAAGGTCAAGAAGCATCAGCAGTTGGCGCCCAGCAACACAGCAGCCCCCAGCTCTTACGTCTGCCTGATTCCTCTCATCCCTAAAAGTAGAAATGTCTCTAGGTGTCAATAATCTCCAGGTAAGTTCATATTCTCATTCTTTTTTTTCATTTCTAGCTATTTTACCACTTTAATAACTAATTCCTAATCTTAATTTCCTGTTTGAAATATTGAGTAGGTGTACTATTTCCTTGAAGGGTCAACCACTAAGCCAGACAAATGCAAACTTCAACTCAGGCAAAAGAAAACTTTATAGGAGAGAGTCGAAAGGGATTGTGGGTCCTCCATGAGACCTTTCCATGGGAAGCAGTGAGCAGTGCTGCTAAGCGTATTCAAATGATTACTGATGCCCAGATGACTGTGCTGGGCTGCTAGGTAGAGAGAAAGATGGGGTAGTGCCAGCGAGGGCTTCTAAAATTCAGTGGTTATTTTTTTCATTAGGTTAATGCATTTTAATAGCCAATATAGGCCGTGAGTAAACACATACATTATTTTCCTGTCTTCTAAGTGCTAGACAAACGCATGATGGAAATGTCAGCGATTCCTCTGCCTCCTGTCTCCATCAAAGCCTCAGCGCTGTCAGCAAGGAATTATATAAACAGGCATATTGGCTTCATACCCATGCCCTGCCGCAATCTTACATATTTCTGAAGGCTATGTAAAATAGAAACGGTAAAAGGTCAGAGATTAATATTTACCCTAGGCTGAAGTTAGTACAACTCTTTTTTTTAAAAAAAAATCTTAAGTTAAAAACCATAAAAGAGAAATGAGACAAGACTCATCCTCTGATAGTCTGGCGGTCTCACTATATAATTTGCCGTCCACCTTCAGAATGACATGAAATTACCATCAGTCCTGGGATAACCAGAGACAATTTATTTATTCCATGCTTCGGCGCCCCATTTGGAACTGGTTCCACTTACATGGCGTTTATGAATTACATTTCCCTAACTCCTCTCTTGAGGACGTTTGCCTGGATGGTGCAGTTGGTATCATGGGCATTTCCCGTCCAGGAAATATAAAGTAACATTGGTACATTAATTTGCTACATAAAAAGCATAATTTGTGGCTGTGCTATACTCTTTATAACTAGAAACAATTTGTCTTTTAGCTAGCAACTGTTTTAATCATATTTGCATACAATGTAACGTATGTCCACAAAACTGTCCCTCCAGATAGGACTCTTTACACATAGATACTTCTCCCTGGAGTTTAGCTTGCATTTTCCCTTTAGAATTAACGTACCACTGTGACTCCATCTGCGCTGTTCCACGCTCCATCTTGTCTGCTGCACACAAGCATGGTGCTCCCGCCCAGCATCTCTTCACTGTTGTAAGCTCTCCCACGCCCCGATTGATAACTGGAGCTCAGAGTCTACTGAATTCAGTGCGTTAAAATCCTTACGTCAACTAAGAATAGATAGTGTGTATCACAAGTCTGAGGAATGGGTACTCTGTGTTCGAATATAGATCTCCCCAAAGATCTTTTCACTGAGTTGTAAGTTACCGTTTGAAGTGTGGACCTACAAGCAGAGGAGGTCTGTAAAAATGTCTGTCTAAATCGACCACCACTTAGTCATAAAAATGCTAGGTTGTGTCCTGTGATCTGCTGCCCGCTCTCGCCTGTTTCAAGTTGCTGGCTTTTGTCTCTGAAAACTATTCAGGAGATAGGTGAGGAATCTATTCAGGAGCTCCATTGTTAGGTGAGACGTTAAAAGCAGCTCGACACAGTCAATTCTTTCTTAAAAATATTATTTTGTTAGTTTTTCGTAAAGTTCATATAATGTATTTTGAAATTGACCCCTTACCCCGACTCCTCTCAGATTCGCCTTCATTTTCTTTTTCTTTTTGGTTTGGTTTTTCAAAACAGGGTTTCTCTGTGTAGCCCTGGCTGTCCTGGAACTCACTCTGTAGACCAGGCTAGCCTCAAACTCTCAAACTCAGAAATCCACCTGCCTCTGCCTCCCAAGTGCTGGGATTAAAGGCCTGCGCCACCACTGCCCGGCTCGCCTTCATTTTCTAACGTACCCACCTGTGTGTGCTATTTCTTTCCCCCCAGCCTCCCCTTTCTTGATTCACTGAGTCCAATGAGTACTGCTCAAAGATTCCTGGGTGTGAGGACTGCTCTGGAGCTTGGTTGACTAGTAGGTCACATTCTTAAAACTGATGCTTCCTCTCCCAGGGATTCTTTAGTGCCACCATTTCTTCAGTGAGGGATGAACTTCATGCCTGGATCCCCTCCGTGCTGGGATTTCATCTGACTTGAGCTTTTGAAGGTTTTAAGAGTGATGTCACAACAGCCATGAGTTCATATGTGCAACTGCGCTGTTGTGTGCAGAATCCATTGTTTCCCTGTAGTCAGTCATCAAGACCTCTGGCTCTTACACAACCTCTCCATCCCCACCCCTCACCCCGTGCCCAGTGATCCCTGAGACTCAAGGGGGGGCTCTGATATAAATGCCCCATTGAAGGCTGAACATCCTGCAGTCTCCTATTCTCCACAGGTTGACCAACTGTGGATCTCTTTGCTAACTGCCACCAACCGCAGGAGGAAACCGCTTTGAGGAAGACCCAGCCAGGCATACAGATAAGTTCCTGGGAGTCATTCTAATGACATAGTCAATTTGTATTTTATTATTATTATTATTTTGGATTTTATTTTCCAAGATAGAGTTTCTCTGTGTAGCCCTGGATGTCAGGAAACTTACTTTATACACCGGGCTGGCCCCAAACTCAGAGATTTGCCTGTCTCTGCCTCCCAAGTGCTGGGAGTAAAGGTTTGTGCTGTGACCACTGAGAAACAGTCAATTCTTAATAATCTATTGTGAGTTGTTCTGCCTTCAGGCTGTACTCTTAGGTAAACTAAATCAATCTCAGACTGGCTTGTACCAGATAAGTGCATGCTGAAGACTTTGATGCTGTTTGTGGGGAAGTGGAGAGCAATGGGGATTGAACACAGGCTCTTCTATGTGTTGGGTGAGTGCTCTACCACTGAGCTATATATAACTTTAGCTTTCGTTTTGCTTTGTAGCCCAGGATATCCTTGAATTTTGTGGTCCTCCTGCCTCAGTCCCCTAATGGCTCATATTTTACACACACACACACACACACACACACACACACACACACACACTGTACTTTGCAAGCCAGTTGGAAAGACAGCTTTGGGTGCTCTGGGCAAGCTGTGAGAAAGAACTCTTGCAACTGCTTTCCTGAGGTCTGGTTTAGGCTTGTCAATCAGACTGAAGTTTCAAATGTTTTAACCACGCCCACCGCCTCTTTAGAGAAGCGGGAACTCCGTGTTTTTTAACTTCTTGTTTTCCTATCCTGCTTCTGATTTCCAATGACTTCCTTCTCCAAGTTGTTGTTCTTCAACCTCAACCTCAAACGTCTCTGGTTAACCCAACCATCCTGCCTCTCCCAAGGCAAAAAGAAAGCATGGTACCTTCCTCTGAAGGACAGACTCTGTAAACCCACTGGAAATGGTTTCTTCAGTATCTCTATCCATGGCCATAAAACTTAGCTAATTTACTAGGCAATAATTACTATGGTTGTATTTTTATTATGTAGATCTGTAGATATAGCTTCATTTTACATGATTCATGAGAAAACATCAGCTCTGTGGGAGCGATCATGCTAAGTCCTGAAGAGATAGCCCCTAACACGCAGGAAGTATGATGGAGGAATGGCCTCCAAAGAAGCCCATGCTCCAAAGCCAGAAGCCTGTGAATATTTTATATCCTCATAGAATAGGAAGTTGGGGGTCGAGGGTAGTGATAATTTAAGGATCTTGAGAAAATGAAAATGTCATCACCTCTTTGAATGGGCCCAATGCAATCACTAGGCCCTTTATAAGAAAGAGGCAGCCTGTCATGAATAAGAGAAAGGAGAAGACCCTAGAAAAGAGGGAGAGGAGCCAGAGGGAAGAGGAAGAGGGAGAGTCTACAGCCTGGAGATATACTCTGGTTGCTCTGATGGCGGAGGAAAAGTCTACAGACTGAGCAGTTCAGGAGTAAAGGTGGCTTCCAGAGCTGGAAGAGACAGGCAAAGATTCTTCCATGGAACCCCCGTGAGGAACGCTTGAGCCTTCAGACCTCGAATGTTGTAGAATACGGTTGCGTCACGCCGCTAGCTTTGTGCTCATTTCTTACAACAGGAAATGAATACTAAGATTTTGCAATCCAGTAAATTGGGTGACATGAGCCACTCTGATATAACTCAAGAAACAGTGAGAACAAAATTAATACAAAGAAACTGCTGAGGAGATCATTTGTGCAGAGTCCTTCACTGAGGAGGTGCCGCTGAGGTGAGAGAGGCTCCCTGCAGGAGGGCTCCATCACAGAGCCTACAGCTGAGCACCGAACAGGGCCGACTGCAAAGTGATTCTGACTCTTATGATCACTTCTTTTCCGAGGGCCCAAAAGGACTTGATTAAAATCCCCCACATTCTACTGAGGATGGAGCAGGTTTCTGGGTTAATAAAACAACAGCAGCGCTGTGATTTTTTTTAATATAGTTTTTATAACAGTTGGAATAACACGGGCAAGAATTTCAATACAGAGGTGCAGACTTCGGAGTGGAATTCCCTCTCTACACGGAGCAAGCCCTAGCAAGGGTGACTTGGCTCACTTCCAGATAGCCGGGTTAACCAGCGCTAAACGAAAGAGCAGCAACTGCCAATCGCTGTAAAAACACAATTCCTTCAAAAGGCACCTGTCACCATTTACAAATTAGACATGTCCTACAACCTTTCCATTTGAGCAACATTCCGTATGACAGTAGGAAGCCACTAGACTGTCCATATCCCTAGTAGAAAGACTGGCATTGAGTGTTGGTGGTAACGGTGGTGGGCTTTTGTTGTGATTTATTCGGGTTTTTTGTTTTGTTTTGTTTGTTTTCGAGTGATCTGACAACCAAGTAATGCCACAAAGTCACACAATGCAACAGATCTCATGGGAGAGTTTTATTTGGGTGGGGCCTGGGGGAATATACAAAAGGATGCCTCTGAGTGAGGATGGAAAAGAAAGGGGCGGGCCCTGAAGGTTTGGGTTTTATAAAAGGCATAGTGCATGCGCAGAGGGGGTTTGGCTGCTGGTGACGACTGGCTGCTGACGTTGAGTGGCTGAATGCTGGCTTGGGGAGAACTCGGCTCGGGAATGTGGGTTCTCTGTTCACCTACACCAAGGTCTCATTCGAATTATGAGAGAGAGACTTAAGGTTCCTGCCACCCTTTGCTAGGTTTTGATTGCCAGAACCCAGACTCTTGGATAACTCTGATTAGCCCCAGTTTAGCCTCTCAGGTTTGACTGAGAGGCGGTACCCGGATAAAGCATAAATGACAATGGATAATCCGGATAAAGAACCTTGTCAAGAGACAGCATTGTTCTGTTTGGAGGAAGGAGCACACTTCCTTGCTGCTATTCAAATTCTCCATCATTTGGTCCCCTCGGCTCCTCAGGGAGCTCCGAGTACAGCCTTCCACGGTGACGCTGTTTGCTCAGGTCTCTTCAGTGACATTTGCTTTTTTCTTTATCTTCTGGTGAATTCACTGCTTTTTGGACTGTTTGTGCTCACTGCAAAAGCGTCCAGAGGAGCACCTCTCCTCCATTGGCTTGCTCCCGTAAGAATGGCCCGGTACTTCCCAAGAGGAGCCCAAACTGATTTCAGTAGGCCTTAAGTCCTGGGAGGCTGCTTCAAGCTCTGGGGACCAACATTCCTCACAAGAAGAACTGGGCATGGTGCAAGCAGCCTCACTTCCCCCGTTCCCGTTGTTTCGGTCCAAGCCCAGAAAGGTAACTTCTGACTGGCTGCATTCAAAAGGGGTTTTCTGAGTCATTCTCTCCAGCCTCAAAGCTTCCTTGGGAGGCACTGCGTGGTTATTCTGGTTTTCGTCATCTTCCACTGGAATACTTGGGACATTATCCAAGAACAGAGGAGAAGGACACCTGAAGGACTTCAGGGAAGTGGGAGGGTCTTCTGCAAAATACAAGCTAGGCTGGATGCTCTCCAGAGCGTTCAGGACCTGATCAGCAAGGAAGCACACAAACACTGAGGGAAGCTTCAATGACAGTCCTGCTTACATTGTCACAGAGAATGTTCTCTCATTTTCCTAATAAGTAAATTAAGTAAGTAAAATAAAAAAAATAAAAATAAGTGCAAATGTAGAATTATGAATTAGAAAGGATATTAGATATTGGAGAAGCCCTTTATGCCAAGGGCCACATCAAGGGATTTGAAGGAAGGTATAAAAGAAACTATAGGCTACCAAGACACCCGACTTTACCCATGAACTGGCCACTGACTCTCTCTATGCTGTCAGATGGGTCTTGGTGGATTTTCAACCACAGAAAGTAGAGGATTCCCATGGAGTGCATCAAGGGTGGAGTCAGATGCCAGGATCAGAGAAAAGGCTTGCTAAAAATACAGATCTCTTCCTCAACTAAGAGACTGTCATTTAAAAGAGAAGAGGAGGAAAGGAGAAGAAGGAGAAGAGGAGAAGGAGGAAGAGTAGGGGAGGAGGGAGGGGGGAAGGAGGGGAGGATGGAAGAAAGAGGAGTGGGAGGAGGAAGGAAGGAGGAGGGGGAGGAGGAAGGAGGAGGGGGAGGAGGAAGGAGGAGGGGGAGGAAGGAGGAGGGGAAGGGGAAGGAGGAGGGGAAGGAGGAGGGGAAGGGAAAGGAGGAGGGAAAGGAAGAAAAGTAGGAGGAGGGGAAGGAGGGGAAGGAAGAAGAGGAGGAGGAGGAGGAGGAGGGGGGAAGGAAGAGAAGGAGGAGGAGGGGAAGGAGAAGGAGGAGGAGGGGAAGGAAGGAAAGGAGGAGGAGGGGGAGGGGGAGGAGGAAGAAGAGGAGGGGAAGGAAGAGAAGGAGGAGGAGGAGAAGGAAGAGAAGGAGGAGGAGGAGGAGAAGGAAGAGAAGGAGGAGGAGGAGGAGAGGAAGGAAGGAAGAGAAGGAGGAGGAGGAGGAGGAGGAGGGGAAGGAAGAGAAGGAGGAGGAG